CTGCTGGCTGTCCTAACTACAGCACAGCATGCTTTTAAGTAACTTATCAGAAATGCATAACATAATCTCTGCAAAATGGCTTTTAATTACTGATGCATTTGGAAAAAAATCTCTAAATGCCGGTAATGCCAGCAAGTCCTTTCTTTAGTGCACCGGTCTGTAGGTCCATTTAATCCTGTGGAGAGTACATGGTGCTCGCAGCTGGTCTTTAAAGCTGACCTGCGTGTGCAGGAGGGCGGGAGAGGGATGCTGGGAGGGAGCACACGAACGTAGGGCTATTAGAGACTATGGGAGGGAGCGAGCAGCTTTAAAACTCTGTGACAGTCCCTGCCAATGTCCTTCGGTGAGGCTTGGAAGTGCGCTAGCTGCTAGGGAGGTTTTATCTTAGAGGCTGTATTTTTTGTTGCGTTCTGCAGCTCAGTGTTTACCCAGCGATTTGGTCTATGAAATGGTGCGTCAGACATGGAGGTATTTGTTTACTGCTGCTTTTCTCCCTCAGATTCCCAAAGGAAATACACTCAGGTCTCCTGGAGGTAATTTCCCCATCTCCGCATTTCTATCCTGATTTCTCCCACCTGCGGGAATCCTTTGGGGACCCCAAGGAAAGAGTCAGGTAAGAATCAATGATGAGCTTAAAAACAAGCAAGCCCTGAATTAAGTAACTGCAGCATCACCCCCCCTGACTCCAGCAGGGAAAGCTCTTCTGCGGTCCCAGACGAGGCCCTTAAACTTGCTTTATCCAAGAACTGGAAGGACACGGGGGTCGGGGGGGGTATGAACTGGCACCAGCTTTGCAGGGCTTGCCTTGTGCTGCGGTGTTTCTATCACCAAGCGAGGGGCTCATTTTAACCCAGATGATGTTCATTTTGGACGTCCTTGAGTTTTCCAGTGAGTCTTAGCTGACCAGTTGAGAGGCCACATGCCATCCCCTCCTCCAAGAGCTGTGTCACCTTCCCAGCTTAAATCCAGCCTCAGCTGGCTCCCCGGGCAGCCCGGCATCCTGGGAGAGACCAGCGCTCCCATCGTGTTTGTCTCTTGCAGGTGGAGGACGAAGCAGAACCTCGACTACTGCTTTTTAATGATGTACGCCCAGTCCAAAGGCATCTATTACGTGCAGGTGGGTTTGGTGCTGGGGGCGGAGGGGATTTAGGTGTACCTGCGAGTTCACAGTGGCTTGTGCCCAGCTGAGAGGGCTAAGAGCCTGTCTGGTTGTGTGATGTGGCAGAATGGGAGCAGGTTTTAACCAGATAGGTTCGAAAGCTCTATTTCTAAGATGCTTTAGACTTGGAGACCTCCCCCATTAGGGAGGGCAGGAATCCTTGTTTCATTTACCTGTTAGATTGGGTGAGAAAAATCTACTTGGAGCATCTTCCAGAATAAACTAGGTCTGTGCCAAAGCTTTTCTCCAGTATAAGGCGTGATTGCTCTGCACAGAGGGGCTCTTACTGGAACCTGGATGGGTCATTGGCACTGAGCGTCCTTTCCTCTTGCAGCTGGAGGATGATATTGTGGCCAAACCAAACTATCTCAGCACGATGAAGAACTTTGCCTTGCAGCAGCCTTCCGAGGAGTGGATGATCCTGGAGTTTTCTCAGCTGGGGTTTATCGGTAACGTTCTCCCTCTCTCACCCCAGTCCCGGCAGACCTGGTCACAAGTGCCTGCTGGTTCTTGCAAGCACTTAATGCTCTTGGTCCAACTAGTTGTCCCCACGAGATGGTAAAATACTTGGACTTGATCCCTCCCTATTTTTGCAGTGACCCTTGTTTTTGCACAGGGGAGAAAGATCCTCACAGCTGGTACTGCTGATACTCACTTTTAATAAAAATAAACCTGGTCAGTGGCCCAGCAGACAGCCGAGCAGCTTAGATGTGACCAGTAGCTTTTAGGCTGGATGGGATCTGGAGTTGCCTAACAGTGTGCAAAAGGAAGTTTACATCAGCACAGAACTATTTTGGGAACGGCAGTACGTGGTTGCAGTAGCAGCTTGATCTGTTATTTTGGATACTGGTTTGACTGGCTTAAAACTTGTAGTTTTCGGGGCAGGAAATGGTCTGTCCTGCAGCTGGCTGAATGTTTTTCATCCTTATTTCTCCCTGCTGAATGGAAGAGTTTTAGACCTTTTGATGCTGTCGTGACCTGTGAGACACTAATGCTTCTAATTCTATGATGAATATTAAATCCGGAACTGTATTAGCAGTGCCAGCAGTACTGGTACGTAGAACAGAGCTGCATGCTATTTCCTTTACATAGAGAGATGGACACATCCAAGCTCCACTGCCCAGTCTCCCAAGCTGTTTTTTTTTTTTTCCCCAGCTCTCATTCTTGACCGTTTCATACCATAGCTGCTCTCTCTCCTTCCTTTCTTTGTGCTGTAGGAAAAATGTTCAAGTCTCTGGATCTGAGCTTGATCGTGGAGTTCATCCTGATGTTCTATAAGGACAAACCCATTGACTGGCTGCTGGATCACATCCTTTGGGTCAAAGTCTGCAACCCTGAGAAAGACGCAGTACGTAAACAACCTCCATTGAAGGGAAACCTTCTTTTGTCCGTAGGCAAACGTATGCTTGGTGTGTGTCTCCAGAGGATCTTCTCTGTGAGCCCTGGTGCTAACTGACTTTGCACTGAGCCATGCCGTCCCTGTGGAGCGTGCTGCGGGGCATCGTTGCGGATTGTGTAAGCAAGGACCTGGGCATTCAGGCTTTTGTAGTCTGCAGCTGTCAGAAAAGGCATTATTTCTGCATCTAAGCACTAACAGGGTATTCTTCCTCCAGTCCTTGAGGAGAGTAGCTGTTCCCAATTCTTCTGTGTTGTTTTTCACTACAGTATGCTTCTCTCCCTGAAGCCGTTCCCTGCTCGCTGACTATAACCCCAGAATAACCCTTTGGCTCGGGGCTGGTGTGCCGTACCAGCCTGGAGCACACATGCAGGCTGCCCGGAGAGCTCACCCCAGATGACCCAAGAGTGAGCCCGCTGCACATAGTCTGCCAGAATGAAGCCAAAGCACGCAAAGCTCTTGTCAGGGTTTCTAGGAGGGTGCAGAGGGGTGAAATGGGCTCCGTTTTCATGCTGCCATCTCATTAGCGGAGCCGTGTCTGCAGGAAACCTTGCAGATAGCAGCATGGAAGCCCCCATGCCCTGTGGATGTTGTGTCTGAACTCCCATCGGCAGCGGCAGCGAGGGGATAAAGCGAGTGGAAAGGGCAGAGGAGGAGTGTGTGTGACAGTAAGTGTAAGATGAGCTCACCACCAGATACTCTCCCGTCTCCTCTCTGAACATATTGTATTTACTCATATGCTCGTTCACCCTCCTCCCCCAGCAGAGAATGAGCAGCAGAGTCCCTGTGCAGTGCTTGAAGCCAGTTGCTTAGGATGGGCCTCGTGGCCACAACTATTTTGTGGCGGCAAATGCCAGAGCACGTGGTCACTCTGGGGATAAATACTGTATTTATGTGTTGGGGGCGACAGGGGACCCTGAGGGCTCTGCAGGATTAGGGCAGAGCTGTGGTTCAATTTGGCCTGATCACTGGCAGAGGCCATGAGGTTGGCTCCAGCCCCTCGTGTGCAGCAGGACCAGTCTCTGATGACGTCCATTGTGTCCTCCTGGCACTTCAAACCATGTGCTCAGGTGCGGCAGAGCAGTCCCCAGAGTTGTCCTGCAGCCCCCGGGGTCCTCACAGCTGTGGGTGAGGCCAGGGTGGTGGGGTGCTGGGATGGAGCTGGGAACGATGCTGCTTTCTGTGTTTCCCCCTTCAAAATCTTCAACTTAAGCATTGATTAAGTGCAGATCCTGCTGCGCAGGATCATCTTCTCCTTAGCTCGTCTTCGCTCATCTTCTCCTACCTGGCGGAGCCAAGGTTTTCCCAGGGGAAACTGCAAACCTCTTAAATGTGTTGCCTTTTTAAAAATTAACCTACTTTCTGTGTGGATTTCTGGCTCCTTTCCCCCACTGTTTGCATGATTAACTCTGCACAGCGCTCTTTCAAACACGGCTTTCCCTTGTAAATCCCACTGTGCAGAATCAAATTGGTAGCGGGGAGGATTTGTCTTTTTGATTGAAAGTTTGTTTGACCTGAGCTTTTGGTAAGTGCTTTGCCTGCTCTGGATATATTCTGCTCTTTCTTTTTTAACTAATTTTAGATTTACCTGGGGTAAAGCTGTGTGAAAGGATGACCTTCTTACCACCAACTGAGCCATTCCCCCTCCTGGCTCGACTGAGACAATGCTGCTTTCAGCAAATACTGCTTTAACAGAAGGGGAAACAGGGGGAGAGAGAAATCAGGAGATGCTGTATCTCCCTCTATTCCCCTTCTTCCTCCTCTCCCCATCCAGAGCGAGATGAGACCTGTTGGGGTTGTGTCTGGGGTTGCTGGCAATGAGTAGGGTCTCTCCCATTAGCATGGCTAGTTTTAATTTTCTAATGTAACATGAGCTGGATTAGGGGATTATCTCTTCCGCAGCTCGCAGGGGTCATGCCTGGAATTTCCCAGCTCCCGGCACAGTGGCGGTGGCCCATGCGGGCAGCCCATCGTAGGGGGAGGCTCGGTGTGGCTGGATTTCCCCCTGCACCCTGGCTGGTGCCAGGCAGTCGGTGACGCAGCGCCCAGCAGCGGGATTTCTGCCATGGTTGCTCTTGGGTGGGAGGTTGCAAGAGCAGATGGTGGTAGGGGTGTGCGTGTCTTTCTTTTCATGGAAAAAAGCAAAATTCAGAAAACAAATACCTTCTCCCTCCAGTTTTTAACCCTGTATTTTTGTCGTGCTCCCCCAAACCGAGAGAAATGAACTATTTTTAAAACATGAGTTCTTGTCTCCACACTCTCAGTGTTTTTCCCCTTTGTCCTTTATTCCTTCTCCATTGTCTCTCTCCCTCTACCCTATGGGTTGGCTCAGAGTTGCATCTCCAAGTTTATTTAAATGGTGGGACGGGTGTGAAACAGCCGAACAGCTCAGACAATGGCACGTGCCATACGGCTGCCTCACAGCCCCTGCCAACAAACTGAAAACTCTGCCCGCCTGAAAAGAGCCCACACTTGCTACCTGTTCGCTCAGGCTGTGAATCATCCCAGGACTCACTGTACCTTCAGACATTAGCGATGCTGAGCTCTCAGTTGTAGGAAAAAGGCTTTCCTGATAAGCCAAGGACAAAAGAAATTAAATTCTCTAGCTGTCCCTACCTGACAGCACCCAGAGGAGATTTGCTCAGCGTTTGCTAAGCTATGCTTGGTAAAGAGACATTTGACACTTAAACCTGGGCACTCCGGCTGCCCTGCAGAGCCCGGTGGGTGACCGGCCAAGAGTCACGGTCAAGTTCCTCCAGAGTGTGGTTAAAAGCCCTCTTGCCAACAAAGGCATAGACATGGAAGGTCAGGGCTGTTTATCACTCCTCTTTCC